ATATTATATTTAGTTTATTAAATAAACATTCATATGAATGAATTTAGATGAATGAAAATGTTTAATTCAATAATTTTATTTATTTTTAACATCAGTTAAATGTTGGTTTATAGTATTTCATTTGAATGTATTATTTAACCATTTGATAAATAAAAACAAGAGTGAACAGTGAAAATATTACATAATTTAAATTAATAATGATTTGAAGAAAAAGTTGAATGATAAAGAATATAATTAATATATTTGATAGTCCAAAATAATCAACACAAGAAACAATATGATATAAATGAAAAGATGATGAAAATAGAAGTTAAAATGATTTTATTTTTAATTGAATTTAATTGTATAATGTGAATGAAGAAATAAACAAAGAATAAATTCAAATAGAAATAAATACAATGTAATTAAAATAACAATAAATGTATGAGAATTCTCATTTCATTAAAAATTATTTAGAAGAAGAAAGATAGGTTTTATGTTATTATCAATTATAGATATTATTGAATGTCATTTGTTTTTGTAAAGTAATTTTCATTTCATACTTTACGTAATGAATGAAACAATACAACATTTACATTTTATTTTCTTATTCTCTTATTGTAAAATAACAAATATCATTTTGTATATATTTATAATGTATTTGAAAATCAAATAAAAGACAAAACATGAAATGAACAAAGAATAAAACATTCAAATTTAATTTTATTTATTTATATATGTGATTTAAAGTTTATTAAGTAATTTTAACATTAAAAAAGAATATTTAAAATGAGTGATAAATCAAATTTAAACATAAAGAAGTTAATTAATTCTTATGTTGTTAATATTCATTTTCATATGGGATGTGATTAAAATGATAATACAATAATAAAGATAGTATTAATTGTATAAAGATATAAGATTAAAATGAGTTATGTCAATAAATTTTAATGTAGAAAGAGTTTCTGGTAATATCCAATAAATTGTTAAAGTTATATCTGATATACTTCAATTAAAATAATTTTGAAATGTGTGTATTGTATGAATAAAATAGTATAACTATAATTCAATGAATTGTTTGAAAAAGAAGAAAGTTGAAAAAGATAAAAACCAAAAAGAGTTGAATAAATTTATTAAATAAACGAAAACACTGATGTTCATTGTATTTTATAGTTTCACAATAAAATGAATGATAATACAAGAAGAGAAAAAAGAGAAAAAAATAATAGAAAGTGAATATGATTAGAATCAAATTGTGATTTTAATGAGACATTGATGAGTGTTTTAGGACAAACATTCTTGTCATAGTTACTCTTTATTGTATCTTTACTCTTTTGAGAAATGTATTTCTTTTTATATTCAATAATTTCTATTTTGTTATTGTTAATTTCTTATTGTTGAATGTTCCATGTACATTTGTGATATATTTTCAACTCTTCTTTCGTTTAAACATCGTCTAATTCATTTATTTAATATTAATCAATTTCAATATTCAATTATATAATTATTTTCTTTTATTTTTTGTTTATTTTATTTCTTTTTATTTCCATTGTTTTTATTAAATATTTATGAAGATGAAAATGAATGAAATTATTTATATAATTGTTATGATACTTGTTGTTAACATTATAATGTTTAGTGTGATAATTACTGTATCTCTGTTAATACAAATCCTACATATTTCACACACCTATCATTTATATTTATTTCTTGGTATGAATTTCTCTTTTTATTATGTTTAGTATTTTGGTATATTTCTGACTTTCATTTTTTAGCGAAAAAAATAAAAAAATTAGTTGAAAAGAATTGAAATAAAAATGACAATATTATTATATATCACAACCATTACCCCTCCTTCAATGTTATTATAATTTCAGATTAATTACACTTGAAATGATGAAACAAAGAAAGAGGATTAACAATAAAATTAAAAGAATAAACAATAGAGAAAATAGAATAAAGAAGGAAATAATTCAATTCAATAAAATGGATAAAAAGTATTTTACATAAAATGATGACAAATTTCAAATTAAGTTTACATTAAAATTTAAAAAAAATAAAAAGAAGAATGAAAGATAACAAATAGAAATATAATGAATAAACAAATAAAAGAGAAATAAAAATCAACACAAGAAATGAATATAGAAAAGAAAATAAGAAGAATAATGAAATAACAATATAATCAATGAAATAAAGAGTGATGAATAAATAATAAATGAAGAAATAAATGAGAATAATCAACATCAAATAAAAAAAAATAAATAGGGGGTAATAAATAAAAAAGAAAAGGAAAGAAATAATTTATGAGATGAAAATATATAAATAACAATAAAACAATATTTTTAATATAATACGATAAAAATAACGACATAATCAAGTTAAAAATTGCAAACGAAAGAAAATACTATTTTTATGATTATGTAATGATAAAATGAAAGAATAATAAATATCACTGGTATAATTTAGAAAGAATAATAATTCTTCATTCAACATTATTCAAAGAAGACGAAATAACTATAAAATAACAAAATATTTTTATGGTAAAAGACATAGAAAAATATGGAAAGAAAATACCAGAAAAATTATGGAATAGCTGATGAATGTTTTTTTCAAGATGTAATGATTTTCTTCAAATCAATACAGCAACAAATATTAAAGTGATATGAAATAATTGTTTTTCTGGATGCACATCATTAACAACAATTACTATACCAACAAGTGTTAGTGAAATAAGATATGAATGTTTTAGAGGATGTCCGAATGAATTGAAAAAGAATGAAGTATTAAGAAAGATATACTACAATGACGAATGTGTCATTGTTTAATTGAAGAAGATAAATTTAAGATAATTGAAATTTAAAATAAGAAATGAAAAGAAATGAGTATAAAAGATATAAAAATAAGAAGAAAAGAATAAAGAAAAATTTATAAGAATATAAAGAAATAATAGAATAAATCTACAAAATAGATATGAAGAAAATAAAAAGAATAACAATAATAGAAACATATAAATAATATAATAATAAAGATAAATAAAAAATATAAATGAATTAAATTTTATTTTATTATTCTTTTATCATGTTATTGAATTATTATTTCCATTATTCATTTGTTTTAAATATTTAATTTTATCATTTTATGGTTATTTATATTATCATTTGAAATATTGTATAAATGAAATGTTAAATAATGGTATAAATTAAAATAATTATATTTCAATTGAATTTATCTTCATTTAAGTTTATTGTGTTATTTTATATTTTCATTTGTTGTTAATAAATAAATGTGATTATATTAATCAAATGATTGATTTATTTCTATATTATTTTCTTCATTATTTCAATTATTTATTAATGATTTATTTATCATTTCAAAATGAAATTATAAAAAGAATAAAATAATTAAAATAATTCACAATAAAATGAAGTATTAACAATTTCATCATTGTTTTATATTTCGTGTATTTATTCATTTGATTATTATTTTATTATTGCCATTTATTTCATCTTCATTTCTTTCATTGTTGTTTATTATTTTCATATTGATAAATTCTAATCATAATATACTGATAATATTTTCAAATGAATAAAATAAATATAAAATATCGTTCAAATTATAATTAATTAACAATAACATCGAATAAACATAAAATAAGAATAAACATAAAAGAAAGACAAATAAGAATATAAATAAAAATAAAGAAATAATAAGATAAATAAAAGAATGAAAATATTAAGAATAAATAAATTAAAAAGGGGGTAAAATAATACAATCAAAAACAAAGAAAAGGAAATAAGAATAAAACATGAAAAAAAGAATAAAAAAGAAATTAAAAAAGTTATGAATAAATTATAAAATAATGTAAATGAAAGGATAAGTGAATATTTAAACATAAAACTAGAACGATATAATCATTAAATATGAAATTGTGTTACTTCTATTTATTATATTTTCTTTATCAAAACAATGTAATGAATATATTGAATCATATGATAAAGATACAGTTGATAGTGCATTTGATTCTATCGAATCATTTTCAACCATAGAGAAAGAAAATGAAGATATTATTAATTGATTGAAATATTATTTAAATGCACATATTTAAAGACTATTAAAAAATTCACCACAACAACCATTTTCAAATAATTATTATGAGAAAGTAGATATTGTTTCTAATTTAGATAAAATAAATACAAAAACATCAAATATCTATGAATTTTATTCAGAAATAAAAAATCTTATTATTTTAACAAAAGATTTACATTTACAATTTAATGTAGATAATATTCTTAAAAAACCAAATTCAGAACTTTTTTATATTATTTATTTCCTTCCATTTACAATAAATATAGATAATGATAGGAAAGTGTATTTAAATCAACAAAATATATTTTCTCTTTCTAATATTCGTGGTGTAGTTGATGTACTAAAAGAAATTATAAATAATCAGAATGTACCAGTTAAAAGAATAAATGGAGAAAAGATCCATTTAATATTAATCGAGAATTTAAAAAGAAATATTTAGGACTAAAATGTCCACATGCACAATTTACATTGGTAAAATCAAAAATAATACTTGGATCATTGAATGAATTACCATTAACAAAAGAATATTTAAATACACCAATAACAATTAAATGGGAAAATGGAGAAATTCCAAGAAGTACTTGAAAGAAGATGAATAAGAGATTGAATAAGAATAGAATATTTTGAAGAAATAAACGAAAGAAAAAGAATAAAACAATAAAAAGATGAAATGAACCCAATTGTTTTATTAATAAAGAAATAGTTTAACAACAAGTAACAAAGTAAATACATTAATTGTAAAAACTTTTGATTCTATTTCTGATTGGTACTATTTTTAAAAAATTAAATGATTATCCGATTCAAGTAATATTCACACAAAATGGAGGAGGTTTGATGCAACTTGCCAAATAATTGAGAAAGTATTATCACTATTTGATGTTGATTTCATCAATTCAGCAAGAATATCAGAATTTACAGAAGATATAATGAAAAAAGGACTTAATTTAAATATGAATAACCCAGAAACATGTGAAAGAAGAAGAAGTTTTAGAATTATATTTTCTGATTTATTTCCACTTGAAGAATGGTATAAAACATTAGAATTATTAGATATGGAGATGTTGAACATAATGTTACACAACCATCAATCGTGAGATTGGAATAAAAGATACAAATGAAAAATCCAAGAAAACCAACAAATGTTCATGGGTAACAAAATGATTAAAAGAATGTGGAGGAGTTATTCTTGTATGATTTAATGTGGTCCATATGGAAAAGATGAAGAATTATCACCATCTAATGATATTCCTAATATTACTGAAATAGATTTAAATAATAAATTAAAAGAATAGGGATATGAATTAAGATTAACTGTTAGAGAAACGTACAGATATAATTATGAATATGATGAAACAATACCAAGAGAATTTTTAACAGATATGATAGATGAAAGAGTGAATATTTAATAATTGTCATACAATATAGAAGAAAAAGAAGAAGAAAGAAAATAAAACAAAATGTAATCCAAATAATAAAAGAATAGTTAAAAGAGATGAAAAATGTGATAAAGAAATTAATATAAAACATGGAGGATATGAATGTAGAGATAAAGGAGTACAAAATGCATTATGGCATGTTGTGATTCAGGATATAAAATTGGTTATATCAACAACAGATTAATAATTTGAATAATAATGATAATTCTCTAATTGAAGAAGGGTTATTTAAAATAACAATTTAGTTTAATAAAATAAAAGAAATAGAAGAAGAAAAGAATAGAAATACATTTTAAAGACTTGAAATGATATTAAATAGTTTTTGAACAAACACAATAATCTTATGTTATTTTAATAAATAAAATAAAGAATATATGAATATTAATTTATTATAATCATTTTAATAAAATAAAAATGAATAATGTAGAATATTTCAGTGATGATAATGTAAATTTAGTAAGTAATGATATTTTAATTTATGACCAATGTTCACATTATACAACTGAATAATTAATAAGAATATTATAACTATTTATTCATTGTTGTTTTTTATTTCTTTTTATTTTCATTATCATTTATTTGAAAACAATAAAATATGAATAAAACCATTAAATTAATTCAATTTATCATTGTAACATTTTTCAATTTCTTCTTTTCTTATTGTTTGAATAATAACTTCTTCATTCATTCTTCATTATAATTTTATACTTTCTCTATTTCATATATTTTATGATTAGTTTTATATTCAGAATTAATTCCTAGATTAACAACATATTTGTTATCATCTGTAACAATAATTCATAAACATTCATTAATATCATTTTCATCAAATAACTATTCATTTTTCAATACTTTTTTAAGTTTAAGTAAATTGATAAAATTATTTGGTACTTCATTAATTTTTATCAACGCATCAGTTATTGTTTAATTAATTCAGTTTTATCTGTTAAATTTTGAGTATCAACAAAATTATTAAAAGAAGAATGGAGTTTGTCTAATTTATCAGAAGTAAGATTAATATATTTTAATGCATTTCCAAGTTGTATATTATTTAATGAAAGTGGTTTTGATGATTATTTTGTTTCTTTATAATACTTATTTTGTGAATATCATAACATCTTCGTTGTAAGTTGTTTGATTGTTGATATTGTGTTTTTAAATAATCTATCACACTTTATTTTAAATAGCAACAAAAAAAGGAAATAATAGAAAAAAGGAAGAGAAAGATATAAAAGAATAAAAAGAAAGATGAAGAAGAATAAAGAATAAAAATAGAAAGTAGAAAAGATAAAAAGAAGATAAAAAGTAATAAAACAAAAGAGATGATAAAAGAAGAAAATAAAGAAGAAAATAAATTGTGTATTTTTATTGAAAATGTGAAATATGAAATAAAAGTGTATAATTTAATGATGTAAAATAATTGGTATTGTTTTATTGTTGAAAAATATTTTATTCTTTTTTATGTTTATTATTTATGTGAATAATTTCATTATGATGTTTATTATATATTCAATCATATATGTTATATGATTATTATATAATATTTAATATCTGATAAAATATAAATAATAAATGATATAAATATATGATATAGATAGAAACCAAACAAATGAATAAATGATATAGAAATAAAAAGATAATAAATGATATAATAATAAAATCAAAAGATAAAAGATAAATTTAATATAAATAAAAACAGAATGAATATAAATCGAAGTAGATATAAATGATAATAATATAAAAGATGATAAATATGAATATTCAAATAATAAAATACATCAAAATAGAAAATGAATATAAAGAAGAAAGTATAAAGAATATAAATCGAAAAATTATAAAATAAGAAGGATATAATAATATATAGATAAATAGATGATATAAATAATATAATCAGAGAAATAAATATAAAAATAACACAATAATAAAAGAATACAAGAATACAAATAATTAAATATAATTAATCAGTTCTGTATTTATCATCCTTTTTATTTTTTAGGAGTGAAATATAATAAGTGGAATATTCTAATAATGCAAAATATTTTCATCTTTTTTCAATTTTTTTATAAATTATTTAGATGCATTATTTCTTTGTTTATTTTCGTGCCCGTAAGAATAGAGCTATAAACGGATAGTAATAAAACTATAAAATGAATAGTAAAAAACAACGAACAAGAACAAAGAGTTACAAACTTGAATCTAGTCTATTCTCATGTGAAATCATGTCGAAAAAGAAGAAAAAAATAGCAGTTCAACGTTTACAAGTTCTAAAATCAACGTAATGACCCTTATTTAAAGTGATACCTAACAATATCGTTATCTCACTTCATATGTCACTTGTTGTGTCAACTCTTCCAAGAGGTGTTGTAGCTATCAGGACACAAGGTTCACTAGTTGTTCCGGGTTACGGTGAGGTTTCATCACGCAGGACTATTACTCGAGGCAATTCATCAAGTCGTACAAATGAAAGGACATACACCACATGGAAATGGTTTATGATGGCTAAGTGGGACATCAAAGAACATAGGATTGTTTCTTGGCAAGAATGGGAGGAAGAGTGTGATGAATATGTAATGGATGATGGAAGTGTGTGGAGAACACCATGGAAAGAGGTGAGTGGTTCTCGTCATACAAGAC